GGACACACTGGGGGGCAGGTGTATGCTTGACCTTTTTTCTGGGTGGCCCTGGGCAAGTGTCTTAACCTCCGTGAGTCACTGTCTGCTCTATGGGAGTGAGGCCGACCGCATGGTGCTGGTGCTGTTGTGGGCGTGAACGTGATGATTACTTTTCTTTTTTTTTTTTTTTAAGATTTTATTTATTTATTCATGAGAGACACAGAGAGAGAAGCAGAGACACAGGCAGAGGGAGAAGCAGTTCCCTGTGGGGAGCCTGTTGCAGGACTCGATTCCAGGACCCCGAGATCATGACCTGAGCCTAAGGCAGAGGCTCAACCGCTGAGCCATCCAGGGGCCCTACGTGATGATAACTTTTAAGATAAATAAATGCTAGGTCTAGGAGGAATTTAAGGGGAGCTGGGTGCAGTTTGGGTGTAAGGACCTATCTCAACACTAGGCACATGGGAAGTTCTCTCTAAATGTTGGAGAATTATCTCGGGCTGCATCCTAGGCTGGGTCCTCCAGGCCAGCTTTGATCCATGGAGTCAAATAAAAATGGAAATATGATCAAGAGCAGTTACTGGTGATCAAGAACATGCTCAGTATGTGGGTGTCCTCCTCTCATTTTACGGCTGAGAAAATGACACTCAGAGAATTTCCTAGGGTCCCACAGGGCAGTGGCAGTGGCAAGACATGAACTTGGGCCATGATGACATGCTGCCCGCCCCCTTCGCCACCACCGCCCCTCCCCGTGGATGCAGATAGCACAGGGGGCATCAGAAATCCCTGCCAGAGACCTGCTGCCAAGGCCCTGCTCTATCCCTTCTCAGCTGCAACCCTAATCATTACCCATTCCTGCACTCATTCATTCATTCAACAAACATTTCTGAGCACTAAGTTTGTGCCGGGAACTGTTCTAGGCACTGGGGTTACATAAGGGGACAGAACAGATGGAAATTCAGGCCGTCATAGAACCTTGTTCTGCAGGATGAGTCAGAAACCAAACAAAAAGTCTATAGTATGACAAAGAGTGAGATAGCAGTAAGTTATGGGGAGAAAAGAATAGGATAAAATGAGGGGCAGTCCCAGGATAGGGTAGGGTTAAATTGGGGACTATGCCCCAATTTAAACAGTGAAGGCAGGATCACTGACAAGATGACTCTGAGCAAAGTCTTTTAGGAGATGACGGTGTGAGCCACGCCGAAGGAAAAGCATCTGAAGCAGAGGGAACAGAATGTGCAAATGCCCTGAGGTAGGAAGCTGTGGAGAAGGTGCCTCCAGGAGGTCAGCGTCACTGAAGAGGAGGAGCAAGGTGGGGAGGCATTTAGGGCAGACGGTTGGGAGGGCCATGTGGGCCTCGATAAAGACTTGGCAGTTTGTTCTTTGAGACAGGGAGAATAATCGGAGGACTGACCCACGGCGTCAGTACTGGACATTTGTGGGGTGAAAGGGAAAGCTTTGAGGGCCCCGTGGGGCTACTCAGATCCAGCATGTGTTCATGAAAAACTGTGTCAAGCTGTCCCCGGCTTTGGGGATCACCTTTCCTTTCCCCAGGCTCCCCCACCCTTAAGGGGCCACTGGAGACTTTATACCATGAATTCTGAGCATCTGGGGCCTCCTCACGGGCTTAAAACAGCAGCTGATGAGGCAGGTGTGGGTTTTGGGCCTGGAAGGGAACGTGGCGATAAGAGCACCTACTTAAATTAAGGCTTGACAAAGCCTCCCCGGTAGCATTGGCTCCAAGCCCCGGGTCACTGGGCCTGGCCTGGTGCCTGCGAGGGACAGGGCGCAGGGAGAGATGGTCCCACGCAGCTCCGTCTCGTTCCCCAGCGCTGTGGAACCTCTGGGCAGGCCAGCAGCCCTGGCCGAGGTCAGCCCACGCTGACAGCCAGGAGGTCCCTGGAGCCTTGAGGCCGAGGCCGATCCTTGGGAAGCAGCCACGGAGCTGGCCAGGCCGGGGCTGGATGGGAAGGGAGCAGCCAGGGTGGCGGCCAGGCAGGCACCTCACGTCAGGCCTATTCATAACCTGGGCTCTACTTCCCAGGCCCTAGCAGAGCAGACTCTGGCTGTGAGTCACTTGGGGGCCTCCCCCGGGTCCCCCCCCTCCCCGCCCTCCCCCTAGGGAATCTCACCTTGTGTACACTCTCCTGCGTCCCCATCCCTTGTGCGCCTCACGTGGTGGGGAGACCATGCAGCAGGGGGATTTTTTTTTCTCAAGGCAAAGACTTGGCTGTTGGCACTGGGACGTATTCCCAAGGTCTCCCCCTGGGCTCCTGACCTCCTCAGAGCCAGAATGGCCCTTCTTGGATCTTTGGATATTGAGATATCCTCCTGGCCAGGCCCCGGGGGTCTCCCCGGGGGATGTGCCTGTTCATGTTTCCTGGGCAGCTCCTGGAGCAAAAGCCCTGATCTGACGTGTTTGCCAATTTCTGGGGTGGAAACGCTCCCATAGCCGATTTCAAGCTCACAAGGTGACGGCACAGAACGTGGAGTTGGAAAGAGGCGGCCACGGTGGGCTCGGGTGAGATGGTGGGAGCTTGTTCCAGCCCAGCCCTGGGGACCCTCCCCACCAGGTCACCTCTGCAGCTTCCAGGATGTGCAGCAGGCAGGATCACCTTGACCTCTGTGCAAGCCATCCTCTCATGGATACGTCGTCGCTCAAAGTGGCTACTCACAGGCCAAGCAGGCCTTTGGAAACTCTGGGATGATCAAGAGGGGGCCTCGCCCAGGAAGGGGGCTGGGAGGGGTCAGGGTGGGGGCACTGCTCCGGGGGCCGACCCAGCACAGAAGTGAGAGAAGTTGGAGGGAGGAGAGGACACCCACTCCTTCACTCACGACCGCTTCCACCGAGATATTGGTGTGCATCCTTCCGCTCTTCACTTTCTGTGGCCGGTTTTGGGTTTTGCCCATTTGGGATGGTTTAGTGCAGGTAAGTGTTACTCTCTGCCTTCTGATCTTTACCAGACCCCGTGAGAGGCTTCAGGCTCCCTGAACCAGCCTCATGCACTGCAGGCCACCAGGGTGGCCACTTGGGAAAACAGCCTGGCAGTTTCTTTTTCTTTTCCTTTTTTTAAGATTTTATTTATTTATTCATGAGTGATACAGAGATAGAGAGGCAGAAACACAGGGAGAGGGAGAAGCAGGCTCCACGCAGGGAGCCCGATGCGGGACTGGATCCCGGGACTCCAGGATCATGCACTGGGGCAAAGGCAGGCGCTAAACTGCTGAGCCACCCGGGGATCCCAGCCTGGCAGTTTCTGAAAAAGTCCAGCACGACATTACCCTATAGTTTAGCCATGCCACTCCGGGGTATCTACCTAAGAGAAGTGGAAACATATGGCACACAAAGCTTTAGGGGACTGCTCCTGGCAACGCTATTCACGGTGACCCCATAAACAGAGATGCGGTCTGTGCGCACAATGGAGCGCCACTTAGCAACAGAGAGGGACAAAGTGCTTCTACACACAACAATGTGGATGAACCGCAAAGACGGTATGCAAAGTGGAAGAATCCAGACACAAAAGACCACAGATGCTAGGATCCCATTTATAGCAAATGTCCAGAAAAGGCCATCTCTAGCAACAGACAGATTTAGTAGTTACCCAGGGGGCTGGGGGAGGGAACAGCTAGTGACTGCAGATGGTCTTGAAGGGTCTTCTTGGGGTGATGGGGTTGTGGTCATGGTTGCAAAACTCTGTAAACTCATCAAAGGTCATCACACTGTATGCTTACAAGTGGGTGAGCTTTATGGCTGGCCTAGAAATGATACCTCAGTGGAGCTGTTTCCAAATGCTTCCTAAATACCCTTCTCGATGGATTCATTGTATTCCTTAAAGTCAGATGGGCTCCGATGTATTTGACCTTCTCCAGTTACTGCACACAGGGGTTGTGTCTCTGGTTTGGGGGCTCCAAGCGACCCAGCAGAGTAAGATTTTCCGCTTTAGGATTACTTCCCCAAACTTTGTTTTCCAGAAGAGGCCTTACTTACTAGGTAGGTCAAAAGTCCTGAGCGTTTGTCAAGACTCTCAATATGATGCTAAGTATGCTAAAGCATTTCCTCCAAAGCAGGGGCCAATTAATAGTTTCGGTTTCCCGTCCTTTCCTAGTGCACGTGGTCAAATTGTGGCACCCACTAGTCCCGGACAAGAGAAAAACACACTATGCTATGGTACTACAAGTCAGGACTGTGGTTGTCCTCTGGGGAATAGTAACTTAAGAAGGGGCGGGAGGGAAGGTCAGGGAGGCTGTAATGTTTTGTTTATTTTTAAATTTTGTTTTTTGAGAGAGAGAGAGTGTGTCTATGCATGCACGGGCAGGGGTGGGGTGGAGACGGAGAGAGAACCTCTAGCAGACTCCCCGCTGAATGTAGAGCCTGACAAGGGGCTGGAGCTCATGACCCATGAGATCATGACCTGAGCCCAAACCAAGAGTCGGGACACTTAACCGACTGAGCCCCCCCAGGCGCCCCTGTTTTGTTTATTTTTGAGTTGAGATGCGATCGACATCCAGTGAATTAATTGGATAGCTGGGTGAATCTTTACATATGATGCTCCCGTGGGGCCCTCTCCCAGATCAAGACAGAGAACGTTTCCATCACCCCAGGAAGTTCCCTTGTTCCCCTTTCCAGCCCAAAACCAGCAGCTGCCCTGACCTTCATCACCATAGATTAGATCTGTCCCATCTTGAACTGCCCATAAATAAAATAATATTTTCTTCTTCATCAGGATGCTGCTTAAATAGTTATGATCTTTAGGTGAGAGCCGCTGAGCTGTATATTTCTATACTTTTCTGACTTTGGTTATGTCTCAATGACAAAGGGTGGGTCAAGGGGAAAAGGATTTGGGGGCGCTGTCCAGTCCGCGGGCAGTGGCCCCCTTGCTGACAGTCGTCCTCCCAGTGGGCTGTGCCCGGTGGCGTGGCCCTGGTTCGTGGCGCGATGGGGGTGGGAGGAGGGCTGTGTCCAAGAGCTAACCTGTATCTCTCTTCTCTCCCCTGTCCGCACCCGTGTCTCCATGTGTCAGTCTCGTGTGCTGTGTGTGTGTCCATAAAGCCACATTTCGTGCTGCCCGCCAGAGAGCTCCGTGTCATCCCATCTCAGCCCTGACACTGCCTCAGCATGGCCATCTCATCACGCCTCGCCCTGTGGGAGCAGAAGGAAAGTAACATTCAGGGTTCAGGCGACAGCCGCGGGGCCGACTGCCAAGCGGGAGGACAAGCCAGAGCATGGGTGGCCAGGCTGTCCCCTCCTGCCTCAGGCGGGGCATCTGGCATCCGCACCTCCCTGTGACGTGTCCAGTGCCCCGCTCCACTCCCTCTGGCCAGCGCTGGTGAGCCTAGGCCTCTCCAATCCAGTTCATGAGCTCCTTGAACTCCTCCCATGCCTGGCCGCTCTCTTCCTGTTCCTCAGTAGGCAGCGGGGGACTGAGGGTAGACCAGCTGTCCTGTCTGGATCACCGGGGCGGCTTCCATGAGCACCGGCTTTGTGTGGACGGTGGGGCGGGGACAGGGCTGGTGGCTGCCAGACTTCTGCCTTGGGGACGGGTTTCTGTGCTGCCTGCCTTCTGTCACCATGGAGAACTGGAAACGGGCCCTTCTTCCCAGTTATTCTTCTCCCTTTTGTATTTTTTCACAAGATTCCATGAAGGGCTGTCTCTCTGATGCCTGAGCTCTCCTTCGCCTCGCCTCCCACCCTCGTGTAGGATTTGATGAGTTAGAGGCTGAGGGGTGAGGCGGTTGAGAAGCTTCTCTCTGGCTGCCTCCCAGACTGCTCCGGGTGTAGCACTGAGAGCAATGCCGCAGGAAGCAGGGGTGACACCTGCTGAGTGGGCCGTAAGCCTTGCTCTGTCTTATGAGGTGGCTTTTGGGCCCCATCGAGAGGGAGAGGCGTGGGGTCAGTGTGAGCCCCGGACAGGGGGCTGCATCAACTAGCCTTAACCCCTGGCCTCTGCTTTGTCTCCTGGACGTCCCTATCCCCTTCGGATTTCCCCTTTATTAGCTGGGCTGCTGAGATCAAGTCTTTGGCAGCCACACGCGGAGGACCTTGATAAGTAGCTTATTTTAACCACTGTGTGGCTCTGCCATAGAAAGTGCTACAGGTTTCTGCCACCCCGCCGCCCCCATGGGTGGCCACAATGATGCTGGTTAAAGATGTACCCCAGTCACCTAGAACAGGTCCCATTGCCCCAGTCCCTGAGGACCCTGTGGTCCACAAAGGAGCCTTAGCTACACGCCAAGTCCAGCCAGCTTGGGTCTAGGCTATGTTTCTGGTGTAAAATGCCAGTATCTAGCCCCCCAACTTTAGGATCCCATATTGGGGAGCCCCTGGCTGCCTGGGTCCCGGTTCAAGGACCATCAAGAAGCCACAGCTCTGCATCAGTGGAGTGGGCTGTAGCCATAGGGCTGGATTTTTTTATATAAACTGTGGCTGTGAGCCATTCCCTACCTTCCCATGTCCCTGGCGCGTCATCAGTGAGTAACTGATCAATCTATTATTTTAATTGCAAGCGGAGGCAGAGAATGTGCATGGTGCCCTGGGGTCCATCCCCTTCTGGAAAATGGAAAAGCTCCTGATGTACCAGCTCCTCCCAGAGATGGTCTGTTCCCCGCCCAGGAAGGGAACCCAAGGGCCAGATTCGCATTATGAGGAAATTGGGTCCAGGCAGAAATCACACAGACAGGGTGGCCTTTGCTGCTCATGCATTTCATCTCCATGCGCTGTCTCAAGGCGTCCCGGAGCCCCGGCCGACCCCATCTGCTTTGCCACGGCCTCTCATACATGTGCTTGTTCACGGATGTCCCCCTGGGCCGCCTCCCAGGCTCCATCGCAAACCTTTCCAAGGTCCGCCTGCTTGCACTGGTTCACTCACTGAGCTTTCTCCTTCTTTGCTTCTGCAAAACAGATTCGGGAGGAAGACAAGAGCCCTCCACCATCTTCGCCCCCTCCCCTTTTCTCTGTCATCCCAGGGGGCTTCATTAAGCAGCTGGTCCGGGAGACCGAGAAAGAGTCCAAAGAAGCAAGGTTGAGGAAAGAGGCAGCGCTCGCCTCTCCAGAACAAGAGGTAAGTGGCCCCGCAGGAAGGGGACCAGGTGCCCATCAACAGGACGGTCCCCTCCTATGAGCCTCTAGATTCAGTGGCAATCTCGCCTTCGCTCCTGCTCTTTGAGGAATGTCCTTTCTGCAGTCGATCTACCAAACTCCTATTCCTCCCTCAGAACCCGGCTCAAATAGTACATCTCTGGAAAGCTCCCCCATTGCCTTCCTTTCTCTGATTCCCATGGCGCCCTCTGTGTTTGTCTTAATGGAGGTCGGCAGAGTTAAATATTTGATCGTGCGACTTTTGGACGGGGCATCCCTTAGGGCCAGTGGTTCTCTCTCCTTCAACTCTGTATATGGAGCACCTCTTGTGAACTTGGTCCAGAGTGAGTGCTGGACAAATGTTTGTTGAATGAATGCATGAAGGACATCAGCTGACCAGCGATTGCAGGGATCATTTTAATCCCACTTTTGCAGAGAGAGAAACCTAGGTGTTGGCTAACAATGTGTAGCTAGCTTACTTTACGTGGCCAAGCTATTCAGTTACTGGTTATGTTCTGTTACTGGTTATGGGTGTGTTGGTTGTAATGATACTGAGACCTCTCTCCATGCCAGGTGGCAAACAGGGGTGACCCCGGCCCCTGCCCTCCAGCTGCCCCTCCCCCAAGTCCCTCAGAATGGCCACATGCCAACAATTAAAGGGTTAATGCTTGCACGAGTAGAGACCTCAGTACCTCGCTGGCATCATTTCTGATTGGTCGGTGTCCGCTAAATTCCTTAATTATTTTGAAGAATTCCACTATTAAATCGAAGCAGTCATTGGACAAGATTTAAGGACTTGCAAATTTATCCTCTCCTGGCGTCTCTGCAGCGCACCCTGGAGGTGGAGCAAATACTGCAATGACTGGGCTGAGTGACCCAGTGGCCTCGGGGCCTGGAGTTGGCTCGGGCCCAGCGACCAGCCTGACTCCGCCCCCCACATCCCTCCAGCTGTTGTTAGCCTGTCCCGTCCCCCATGTGCCTGCACCTGTCCAATTACAATGGCTTCGCTGCATCAGAGAAGTTCTCCGGCAGCTGAACGGCAGCAACTGTTGAAACGTCCCTGCCAAGTCTTCTGGGGGAGGATTACAGGGAGGATGGGCTCTGTCCCCACCCCAGCCTAAGCCAGGCATAAGTGGGGGGCCACGGTCAGCCTCCATAGCTGTTGTTAGGTCATGATGCAGTGTGAGCGGGTGCCGTTTGTTACTAGACAAGGTTCCCTTTGCCGTTCATTGGCTCCCTTGAGCTCCTCTGCAGCAACAGGGCAGATGGGAATCGTACCCACTTCTTAGAGGTGGAGACTGAGGTTTAGAGAGGTCAAGCAACTTGCTGAAGGCCATGAGGCCAGATACAGGCAGAGCCAGGGCAAGGGCTTGTGCATTCTTGGCTCTGGGGAGCTGCCTTGGGAAGGGCCACTCTGGGGAGCAAGGTGGCTGATGCGGGGACCTGAGCAGGAAGTTGTCCCACAAGGCTGCCAGCCATGCTGGTGTAACGGTGCACAAGCTAAGAACTGAGCACAGGATGGGACAAACTGTCACCCCAGGGTCTAGGCAGCGACTCAGAGCCAAGATGCAGGATGGACAGGCCTCAGACCACAGCAGGTGTCTGGACCAAGGGCCAAGATGGTCCTGGGGCTGGAGCAGGGCAGCCTGGAGACATGTTTCTCTGAGGCAGCAAGCCCTGGCTAGTTCTCGCCAATTTAATTTTCTTGTCCCCATTGGTAAATAACTGGATTCTCTCCTTGCCCCCGCACAGCTGGCACCCCAGCACAAGGTCCTCATGTAATCCTTGCAACGAGCCATTGGAAGCTGTCACCATCTTGCAGGGAGGTAAAAATGAGGCTCAGAGAGGTGACTTGGCTTTCCAAAGGCCAGGCAGTCAGTGAGAGACAGGGGCAGAAAGGGACTCATATCGAATGTCAGGACAGCTGGGTCCTAGGACCCACCCCTCTGTGTGGTCCAGGCCTCGGTTTGCTCATCTGTAAAATGGGTGTGTGTGAGTTGCCTCTTGGCCTCAATGATGCTAGGGGCACCTCCTCCCGTATACCAAGAAGGCTGCAGAGTGGATTAGGGGCTTTGGCGACTATGAAAATCCAAAGGACGAGAGCCCATGGGTGGGAGAGAGGTAGGGTCGCATTGGTTATCTTGTTTGGCTCAGAGTCATGTTACTGTCTCCACTATGGCAGTTTGGTTAAAAATACGGCCTTGACTCACTCTTCAAAATGGTATAGACAGCGGTGACGTTTGCCAAGTGAGGCCAATCCCCTTTCCAAGGCTATGTCCTCCCTGGCCCTTGGTCAGACGGAGCACTAGGGCCCTGTAGTGGGGGTTCTCAGCCCTGGCTACACGCTGGAATCACCCGGGGGGCCACAACCCAGACCAACTCCATCTGATTCTTTGGGATTGGGGCCAAAGCATCAGTATTTTTGTAAAGCTCCCCGGAGGTTCTAGTGAGTCCTAGGGATAAGGAAGGCTGCTAATATGCATCCAGTAAGGACGTTGACTTTAGACTTATGGGGGCCTGCATGACTACATTTTGACTTTGTCTCTTGGGCCGCCTGATATCCTTGTGTTGGCTTCTTTATCTGTAGAACGGGGGGCAGTTCAGAACCTACCTCCCTGGGTTCCTAGGAGGGTTGAGTAGGATATGACAGTGACGTTGGGCCCTTGGTAAGAGGGATCTACACGTGATGGCTGTTAGTACTGTCATCATCATCATCATTACAAAGCTGTAGATAGAGGCCGTGTCCTTGAGGCATCCGCCACCTCAAACGGAACAGAGATATACATCGGAGCTAGAATGGGCTGCAGACTACGATCATCGCCACAGACCGTGTACCAGCACGGTGCCCTGGGGCCTCGGGGGTGCCCGAGACAGGTTCTGACTGAGGTTTGCAGGCAGGGATTTGTGGAGGGGGTGGCATTGGAGCTGGGCATGGAAGGATGAGCAGAGCATGGGCAAGTGAGGACGGGAGAGAGCATCACAGGCAGGGAGCTAACGGAGGATGAAGCATGGAAGCAGAGGCTGGTCAGATGTGGTGGGAGATGCCCCCACGTGACTCAAAGGGGACAAGCAGGGACAATGGACCAGAATGGAGGGTGGTGGCTCCTTTTTGAGCGCTCTGAATGGCAGGGGATGGTATTGAATAATTTTCCCATAGGCTATGGGCCACTGCCAAAATCTTTTGATTTAGATTAAATTGGCTGGCAGCGAATTGAAGGAACAGCAGATCAGACTGTGACAATGGCCCAGGTGAACGTGGAGCCGGGTTTGGAAAGAGAGACACAGGTGTGAGGCCATGAGGGTGGAATCAACATGATCCTGCAGCTGCTTCAGGTGCAAGGGGAGGGTGAGGACCCCAGACTCCTGGGCCCAGGTTTGTGCGGGAGGCCAGCATCAGCACGGTGCCCGATGGCGGTACCCAGGCGAGGGCAGGCGGTGAAGCCAGGCATCAGGGTGGACCTGCGCTCCCCGTCCAGGTCTCTTCCTCTAGAGGCCTCGGCAGAGCGGGCCCTGTGAGCAGTTCAGGCCACAGCCAGGTGGGCTTGAGGACAGAACTCTGAGCAGAGCTGACACCACAAGGCAGCAAGGCCCGGGAGGGGAGCTGGCAGGGGGTGTTGTAGCACAGATGTCCCGGCCAGGCAAGGCAAGAGGACCTACTCTGTGCTGGGCTCGGCTTCCTATATTATCATGAATCCTAACGCTCGCCCTGCGAAGTAGGCCCTTAGGCTCCTCATTTTATTGATAAGGAAACAGGCTCAGGGAGGGCAAGTAATTATACCTAAGGCCACACAGTAGCGGATGGCAAAGTGAAGAGTTGAACTTGGGTCTGTGGGCTCTGAAGTTGGTCTTGAGGCGTTGGGCCAAGGTCCAGGGTGTTGGGGTTCGGCTCACCGCCTAGCATAGTGCCTGTTAGGTCTTGTGGGCGCTTGAAGGTCTTTGGGTGGATGAATGGCTGGATGAACAAAGGAGGGAGGGAGGGAGGGAGGGAGTGGTGAGCAAATGGCAAAGCTCTCTGGTCAGCAAGCAGCTAAGTATGGTTGTGGCCTGTCTCCTAGACCCCAGAAATTTCTGCTAGCCAACCCAAGAGCAAGTCCGACAGTGGCACCAAATCTGGAAACCAGCAAATTTCCCAAGGCAACCAGTCAAGCTCTCCGCAGAACTCAGACATTCCGGGCAAGGAGAGCAAGGGGTCCGGCACCACAGACTCTGTGCTGATGACCAGCATCAATGGCGAGAAGCCCCAGGAATCAGGCCCCACTGGGACACCAGCCAAAAAACCCCTGCCCTTCAAGAGAGGCCTGAGGAGGGGTGACGTGTTGCTGATGGTAGCCAAGCTAGACCCGGACGCAGCCAAGCCGGAGCAGAGGACCCAGCCCCGTGATGCCCCTGCTTGCAAGACCCCACCCCCAGCCACAGACCCTGGAGGGGAAAAAAAGGGGGGGACTCCGGGGACTCCTCGTGGCCCCCAGGCCAGCACTAAGGACACGGCCACAAAGGCCGAGAAGCCCCGGACTGAGGGTGTTGGGGACCCAGGCATGGTGCTACTAACAAAACAAGGTGCAGGGGGGAAAGGGGACGGGGCCCCCCAGACCAAAGGGCTGAAAGGGGATGAGCTCCAGGGCAGAGAGGGGCCAGGCCAAGGGGAGCAGGTGGAAACAGCAGAGAAGGGGGCAGAGGACCCCCCAAGTAAGATGGCAAAAGGGAATCTCTCCAAGGATGTGGGTGGTGAAGGGAAAAGGGCTGGGGCCCAAATCCAGGTGAGAAAGTGGGGAGGCCCCCTGGGCAGAAGGAGCAAGTGGGACGGTGCCCAGAGTAAGAAGGACAAGGAAAGTGTCCTCCCAAGTAAGGCAGAGAAGTCAGAGGAACCGCAGATCAAGGCGGAGAAGGGGAGCAAGGAGCAGGAGAAGGCCGGGAAGGGGGGGGACGCTCCCCGAGACGTGGGCAAAGCCGGCGAGCCTCCCAGTGCACCTGGGGAGTCAGGTGAGCCCGGGGCCAAGGTAGGAAAAGGACAGCCCCAGGGTGAGTCCCGGGAGGCCGTTGAAGCTGCAGGGAAGACAGAGAAGGGCTGGAAAGCCCCCAAGGAGGTGGGGGCCCGCGGGGAGACCCCAGCGGCTGCTGAGAAGGAGGGCGGGCCACACAGCGCAGCGCAGAAGGCCGGGGAGCCCCGCTCGGGAGCAGCTGATGGGGCAGAGGCCCTGGAGACGGAGGTGGAAGGACCCAGACCCCCTGCTCGGGAAGGCCCCGCAGAAAGGCCTCGGAGTCGCAGGGAGAGTGAAGAGGGGCCAGGCCTGCCCGAGGGCAGCAGGGGAGCACAGAGCGAAGATTCGGACCAGGTGAGGGGCTGCGGTCCCGGAGCGGGGAGGGCGGATTGCTCAAAATGCGGATTCCCGGGCCCCGCCTTGGAGCTCCCACTCAAAAGGCCACGAGTGGGGCCAAGGCATCTGCATTTAAATAAGCACCCGCCCCGCCCCTTTGCTCTTCCTTGGGGAAATTATGCTTTGGGTGGTCCCAGATCCCACCGTGAGAAACTCCCACTGACTCCTGGGTTCACTCCTGACTCAGGGTGGGGTGGGGTGGCGGCCGGGGGAAGTGTCCTCTTGCTCTGATTTATGTGATCTTTGCTCTCAGGCGCCCGAGGACAGATGGTACGAGGCAGAGAAGGTCTGGCTGGTTCAGAAGGATGGATTTACCCTTGGTAATTAGGGGTGTTAACCCCTAAGTAGAGGAGGGTTCCCGTATTTTCTTCTTGCACCCCCTCTGCCACTAGCCGTAGGTGCTGGATCACGGTTTGGTGGGGGGAAAGGTGAGGGACAAGGAGTCCAGGGTGGGGGTCTGTGGCCTCTGGATTGAGAAGCGTTGAGTGCCATTTGCCCCACCCGGCAGCTGGTCTCCTGGGGACTGTTTCCAAAGGCAATTAAGCTTTGGTACTTAATTATTTAATGAATTCATTGATGCCCCATGCATTGTTTAGCCCCTACTGTGTTCCTCCAGGAAATGAAGTGTGGTGCAAATGGGCAAAGGGGTTTCATCTCACGAGCCCACTTTTGTCAAGTAGTCGTGACCATGCTCTACTGAGAGGCAATTATGAGTCCCAGTCAGAACCCGGCTGGGAAGAGTGATTGATTAGTAATGTCTGCCACGGACGCTGGAAGGGGAGGTGGCAGCCCGTATGCTCCCAACCATCAGGGAGCCTGCCCTCTGCCTGGCACCAAGCCCAAGGTGGGGCAGACCCAGCTGCTGTCCTCAAAGAACTTGGGGTCACAGTTCAGAAGCCTCCATGTGAGCAGGCCCCAAGGGGAGACAGTGCTGCCCCCTTCTGACCTGAGCCAGGACACCTATTTAAGCTCCCTGGTCTGGCTTCTCAGCTTAGAGCCTGTCCTCTCTCTCTCTCTGGACTGTCACCAGCAACCGTGCTGAAGCCAGATGAGGGAACAGCTGACCTGCCGGCAGGCAGGGTACGACTTTGCATCGATGCTGACAAAACCATCACCGAGGTGGATGAGGAGCATGTTCATAGGGTGAGCGCTCTGTCTCCCTCCCCACCTACTCCACACCTCTTTCCCCCACCCCTGCAAGAGATTTCCTTACACCTGACTGCAAAGTCTGCTTTGGCCCAAAGCCCCGGAGGGAGTTGTGAGGAAGACCATCATGGAACTCATTGCTCTGCGGGAGGTATATTGTTGGGGGGGGGTGCAGGTTGCTGCTCTATCCCTGTGTTCTCTTTATGAGGACACATTGACAGACATTGTTTGTCAGAACTGGGAGTTCCACTGGATCCAAGAAAGTGATCGCTTTTTGTTTTATGGACATTGCAAATCATGCTATGGAGCAAGTTTCCCTTTTCACCCTGGCTGCCAGGGAACTCAGAGCCAAATTTGCAGCTTGTCGTTAGCTAGTGCTTAGGTTTCAATGGCCTATTATTTTGGGTATTACCTTTTCTTTTGGTTGATAAGTCCAATTATGTTTTGCATAATTTTTGTAGCACACCATAAATCTTTTTGAGATTTAGAGTATAATGATGGGAAAAACGGTCCTGTCCCAATCCTCTTCCATCTCTCACAGCCTATTATTAATCAAAAAGGTGTTTCTTCCAGAAGGTCTGTGTGGGGCTCATTCATCATTCCCCTTTCTCCACCCTCTACCCACCCTGGGCACTCTACCCCAGCTGGTGTTCAGAGTTTGCAGTAGGCCCGTGTCCCTAACAAAGAGGCTGACCCATGGGATCCCTGGGTGGCGCAGCGGTTTGGCGCCTGCCTTTGGCCCAGGGCACGATCCTGGAGACCCGGGATTGAATCCCACATCGGGCTCCCGGTGCATGGAGCCTGCTTCTCCCTCTGCCTGTGTCTCTGCCTCTCTCTCTCTCTCTGTGACTATCATAAATAAATAAAAATTAAAAAACAAAAACAAAAAACAAAGAGGCTGACCCATGAGAGAGCTCAGGCTTGACGCAAACCCCAGAGCCATAGGCCCAGAAAACTCTTTGAAGCTGGAAAGAATAGTAGGAAGCCTTTTAGAATGGATGCCCCAAGAAGCTGCTATCATCCCTTGCTTCTGGAAGGGTTTGGGCCTATTTCCAAGGGATCAATGCATGATGGGCTGACAGAGAAATGGGGTTGTTTGAGCTCCCTGGCAAGAACCGGAGAGGAGGCAACAGCCACGGGCACTTCCTCACTCTGGAACACCACCGTCCGTGTGGTGTTTGAGACCCAGGAGGCTCTCTGAATCTTGCCAAGTCTCTCAGGAGCATCGCCCTCCCGGGGCAGTGAGTTCAGGAAGGAGGACCAGCGTGAGGAGACAGGTGGCTCTCAGGATGCACGAAGGGCAAAGGAGCAGGGTACCCTTATTTCACTTGTAGGGTCCTGTTTCTCTCTCTCCAGAGTCCTTGTCTTCTGTCCTGGTGTGTGGCAAACAGCTCTCCAGGGATGGGGTCACCAGGGCTGTGCGTGTGTGTGTGTGTGTGTGTGTGTGTGTGTGGCCAGAGGACACTTTGTGTGATGCTCCACAGGCCAACCCCCCTGAGCTGGACCAGGCTGAGGACCTGGCCTCCCTGGTCAGTGTCAACGAATCGAGTGTCCTGAACACGCTTTTGCATCGCTACCGGGCCCAGCTGCCCTGTACCTTCAAGGGGCCAGACTTGATCGTCCTCCAGCCTCCAGGGCCCCCAGCACCCTCTGCAGGCAAGGTGAGTGGGATCATAGGGACAGGGCTGGGGACAGGTGCCTCGACAGACACCCGTGGGGTGTCCTCAGGGTGTGGAGGTTCCCTCTGCATCTCAGGGGAGAGAGCAGGGCAGCCAAAGCCCCCCACAAACCCACCCATCTGTGAGTAGCATCCTGCCAGATACGAGATCCGGGGCATCATGGTCACTGTGGTCATCGTGGTCATCGCGGACCACCTGACCCCCCTCGGTAGAGGGGGACGAGGAGTCACGGCTAGAAGCAGCAGGGGCCTTGGGGATGGTAACAATGCCAGCAAGTATTGAAGGAGTATCAGCCCTGTGCCCGGCCCTGCTCCAAGCCCCTGAGCAGAAGAGCTCAACGGACGCTCACGCACACCTGAAGAGACAGGGCCCCTTACTAGCTGCGTGTGACGGATGACATCTGCTGGGCCAGTCCTCAAGCTCAGCCCGGGGAGAGCGGGGCTAAGCCCGGGCCGCCAGCCTCTCTGGGCTCCGAAGCCCATGCTCACATTCGGCAGGCCCGGACACCCACAGACATGGGGACCCAGAAGTCTCCACTCTGCTCGTACTGACTCTTTTCCTGCAAAGTGTAGAAATGGCTGGGATTTTTGGTTTTTGTTTCTTTCTTTTTTTTTTTTTTTGTCAAGACAGTGACAGCAAAGGCGAGCTCTTAGCGCCACCTTGTGGTGAGACCTGCAGCCACACCCGCGCCCTCTGAGCCGGGCCCCCTGGCTGGTCCCACAGGCTGTTGACTGAGACAGGAGGGAGGGAGAGCAGGGAGGAGGACAGAGAAGCCTGTCCTTGGGGGGCTTCCGTTCTTGAGGGGGAAGACAGGCCCCCACTAGCAAAGACAACTGTGGTCTAGTAGAGCAGCTGAGCATCGGGAACACGTGAGGACGAGGTCACACCAGGTCTTTGTTATGATCCTAATGTTTCTGGCTCTTCCTCTGAGCGTGATGCCAGCTTCTGGGGGTCTTCAGAGAGGCGTGAGATGGTGTGCCCTGTGCCAGAACAGGCTCCCCCCGGCTGCTGCATGGAGGGTAGGTGGGAACGGGCTGGACTCCCCAAGACTTCTCTTCCCCACCCCTCCCCATCAGGTGCTCCCCAGCCCGTGGCCCGTCCAGCCTGGCTGTCCGCTGTGTGCACTCTCCCTTCCCTTGCTGTGAGGGCCGTGCTTCTGGGAGTGCAGCCCCAGGCCTCTGAGCCTCCCAAGAAGCTGATGGTTCCTCTTGCTCCTCATAAGCTCCTGGGAGACTTAGGACAGGCCCTAATGCTGAGCCAGATTCTCGCCGACTACTCTGGCCCGAGGCCTCCATTGCAGATCCCGGGCAGACTAACGTGCAGGTGTTGGAAGGTGCCCTGTAAGGGGGAATTTGAGTTCGGTGATGCCTCAGGCCTTGTAACCCTGGGATGGGGGTGAGGCCCCCTCAAAGCGTCCAGCTTCCCCAGCCCAAACCCGAAACCACCTTCTGCACTTTGGCTGAGTCAAGTCTGGTTCTTCAGATGGCCACCAGGTGGGAGCACAGGTCCGCGGTGAGCCTGGGCCTGGGGCCACCCTGAGATGGGTTTGGTGGGGGCCTGGGCAGGGCTGAGGGCCTCTCTCACTGGAAGTCTGGCCCACCCAGCAGCTGGGAGCTGGGCGTGTGCCTGGGGGTGTGGGGGCACGTAAGTGTGTGAGCATGGGTGTGAGAGTATGCGGTGTAGATGGGGACACCTCTGTGTGGCTGCGAGCCACGTGGTTGGGTGCATGTGCCTGTGAGCACACCCATGTGCAAGCACGTAAGGCACGTGTGCATGCCTGCACTTGTATGTGTACACAGGGGCCTGGATTAGGAGGATTCTCTTTGCCCTTCCGGCACCCCCTCCCCGAGGGGCCTGACAGATGGGATAGCCTGTTCCCTGAACTTTGGCGTTCCCAGAGTGGGAGGCGGCTCCGGGGCTCAGAACCCCAGGACCCTCTGCCTGCTGCATGTCCAGAGGCCGTCTCTAGCCAGTGCAGGGACGGAGTGGGGTGCTGGGAGGGGCTTGTCCCACCTTTGTCAGCTTTGGGGTCCTTCTGAGCCCTGTGTTCTGTGTCAGGACAGGGACTCATCATTGTGTCTGGGTGTCTTGGGCAGAAAAGGTGAAAAGGCCAGCAGAGAGCTGGGAATGGGCCTGAGCCCCAGGCCGAAGGTCCAGGCGATGGGAAGTGCCATCACACTGTGCTTTGCAGCCCTGGCCCTGCAATGGCACTGGAGGGGGCAGATGGGGTCTTGGCTGGCCCAGCGGTCGCCTGTTTGTCATGCCAGGCTCTCGGATGTCCTCCTCCAGCCAGGCCCGCTGCCTGGCCCATTTCGGTGCCTTCCCACTCACTGTTTCATCTTCCATCGGCCTGTATCCCAAAGGCCGTGCTCAGCCGACTTTCATCAAGGTCACCAGTGGTTTCCATGCTGCCAAACACAATTCCGAATGTGCCGACCTCTGGTTTCCCCTTACTTGGCCCTCAGCTGCATTTGGCCAGGCCAAGGCCCCCCCCCCCCCCCCACAGACGCTCCTTGCGTGAGCTCCAGGACTCCCCTGTCCTGGATCTCCCCCTATCCCACTGGCCCTCCCCCTCGGCCTCCTCCGCTGGTCTCCCTGACCTCGCCAAGGCCCAGTGCCCTGTCCCCACACCTCTTCTCTCCTCCTCTGTAAAGCCCACCTCCTTGGCAATCTCATGCAGGCTCAAGGCTTTAAAACGTCTCCCGTGAGATATAGTTTAATTCCCTATTTTGTTTATCATCTGCCTCTTCCAGCAGAAAGCGAGCTCCGTAGGCAGGGCTGTTTTAAGTCAGATTTATTAAGGTATAATTTACATACAGTTCGATTCAGCCTTCCCAGCTTATGGGCCTAGAATTTTCTGACCAACGCGTAGAGTTGTGTAACCAAGTCAGCCATCAATTACAGGATCGTTCCAGTTCCATGGCCCCTGAGAAGCTCTCTGGATCCTTTGTTGTCACCTTCCACTTCCATGTCCTGCTTTTGGCAGCCACTGATCTGGGCTTTGTTTTATTTTTTTGTTTTTGTTCCTATCATTGGGCCTTTTCTGAAAAGTCATATAATTGGAATCGTGCAGCCTTTGAATTGGCTTCTTCCACTTACCACCATGCATTTGGCATTGGCCCATGTGATTGCGGCGACTGGCCACTGGTTCATCTATGGAGTGCGTGCCCAGTTTGTCTACTCACTGGGTGACCGGTTGTCCTGGTTTCCCCAGGAGGGAAGGGTGTTCCGGGACAGGGGACTCCCGGTGTTACAACCAGGATGGTCGCTTACCTTCATTCACTAGTTAAAAGGCACTTGGGGCTGTTTCTAGTTTCTGGTGATTTTGAATATATTGCCAGAATATAATATATTGAATACATATCCAATAGAACCAGTGGCATGGAGGGTCTTTGGTGAACATAAAGGGTCATTGCTCTCGGGTAGGTCCTTAACATTGGGATTGCTGGGTTGTATGATGAGCGTCCGTCTCACTTATTCCCAAGAGACTGTATCATTTGAGCCTTCTTACCAGCATTGTAGGAGATGCCAGTTGCTCTGTGTCTTCACCAGAATGTGGTAGTGAGTGTTACAAAAACTTTTTCTTAACTTTTTTTTTTTTTTTTTTTTTTGCCATTCTAAGAGGTATACAATAGTATCTCCTCATGGTTGGTAGGATTTCCTTTATCCGTTTTGCATAGTGCTCTGCCCCCAGTGCCTGGAACAGTGCCTGCTACCTAGTAGACACTCAATAATTTTTTTAATTGAATGAAAAGTAAATGAATGGATGAGTGGGTGACTGAATGGAGTGGAAGACCTCAGGTATTACCTAAAACTGTTATGGCAAATACATGACACATGTACCACCAGCTACCCCATGCCTATTCTGTTTTCCTGGCAGACATCACTAATCAATCTTGCCATTTCATCCAGCTGCCTCATTCCGGGCAAGTACTATCCAATAATGAGCCAACACAAGCCTCCTGGGAGCTAAAGAGGAGACCCAGATTCAGAGTAGGCTCAAAGGCTGCCAAAGGACTCACAGTGAGTCAGGGGCAGAACTAAACCCCAAGGCTAGGCTTTGGGGTCTAGTCTAGTCTAGGCTATCCCAATTCCAGACTCCTCTGACCAGGCTGGGGTAGGATGGCAGGCAGGCATAGGGGTCAGCGCTCGAGGCTGGGGTAGGGCACTGTCTTGGGGTGCCCCCTGGGCACTGGCTGCAGTGGGAAGATTAATGCCTAGGATCATCTTCCTGCAGGTGCTCAGGGGCCGCCGGGATGGCCTGCCAGCCCACCTTGGCTCCCTGGCACAGCGGGCATACTGGGCGCTACTGAGCCAGCGGAGAGACCAGAGCATCGTGGCTCTGGGCCGCAGTGGTGCTGGGAAGACCACCTGCTGTGAGCAGGTCCTGGAGCACCTGGTGGCAATGGCAGGCAGTGTGGATGGCAGGGTCTCAGGTACAGTGGTCTCCCTGTGATGTGTGTCCGGGGTGGGTTGTGGGAGAGGGTGGGGAGAGTGGGAAGGTGTGCTGGCATTCATGGATCACCTGTGCAGACCCTGTGCTTGGTTCTGGGCAGGGCCACCTGTCCATTGGACATCCTTGTGCAAATTAGAAAAAGGTGTTCCTTCCTCAAGACATTCACAGCTATACGCAGGAAAATTATCATACACTGACATTGTTAGAGCCAAACACTTGCCTGCCACGTGCTGAGGAATCATCCTAATAAATATACTGACCTATGATTGTATGATGTAAACGATGGGCCCCTTGGAAATGGTGTCCTTGTGCAGTGCACAACCTGCTGAACTGTACAGGGGACCCAATAAGTAAAGACAGAAGGGCAGGGCCTATGCTCATGAGGAGTTGACAGCCAGAAGGGCAACCGAACTTCACATATGTGCCAAACTTGAATGCTCTGCACAAAGTGGTGGCAGAGCTGGTTAGGAGAGAGGCAGAGGGAGGGAGCTCAGAGGAGAGGAGGGGGTGGGGGGCTTCCTTGGGGAAGCGATGTTTCAGCTAGGCTTTAAAGAAAGAGTGTCAATTAATAATAATGATGATGACAATATTAATAGTAACTATAATAAATGTCTGCTGAGGACTTAGGCGCCAGTTGTATTCCAAGCATATTAACTTATTTATGATTTAAAGCAGTTCTATGAGGCAGATGTTATTCTTCAAATATCATCGATGAGACCATTAGGACTCAGTGAGGTTGACTAGCTTGCCCGAGGCCACACAGCTAATACATCCTGGAGCTGAGAGTCGAACCCAGGCCACCTGGCTCTAGAGCTCCAGGCCCTGGGCCCGTGCTCTCAATGTTTCTCTCATTGCTGCACCCCTAAGGAGGCTTTTTGGACATTTTCTCCCCCAATCACCCCCTACCATGAAATCTTATTGTCATAGATATACTATGTTCTCTTCATGCAGTGCAGGCATGTCTGTGCTTTATACGTGGGAAAGCAACATTCTCCCTACCGGCAAGAATCCGCTTTTACCCTCTTGGGGGCAATATTCTCCCCACTGAGAATTACATAGTCCCGGAAACATTGCTTTTCTAGTGATCACAATTCTAATACTAGCCACACCGCCTTTGGAGCAGGGACTAAAGGCTTTACATTATTAAAATCTTTTAGTCCTTGTGACAACCGCATGATGTAGGTACGATCATTATTATTATTTTTTAAAAATTTTATTTATTTATTCATGAGACACACACACACACACACAGAGGCAGAGACACAGGCAGAAGGAGAAGCAGGCTCCATGCAGGGAGCCCGATGTGGGCCTTGATCCCGGGACCCCAGGGTCATGCCCCTGAGCTGAAGGCAGATGCTCAACCATCCCAGTGCCCTGATGTAGGTACTATCACTACCCCCATCTTCCGATAGGGAATCAGAGGCATAGGGAGGTTGGTTTGCACATTAGGTATCCAGCAAAGGCAGAGCCATATCAAATCCCCTTAACTGTTATGGGTGCCACCGTGTCAGTGGGGTTATTCCAAAGCTCTATTGACCACCTACTCTTCCCCCGACCTATAGAAGGGGCTGGGAATGCAGCGGGGAGAGGCACCAGTCTTGGCTCACAGTTCTGCTGTGAGTACATGAGCTTGAGGGTGAGAGTCAGGATAGACTTTATCCAGGTGCCCGGCACAGTGCCTAGCACATAGTAGGTGCCCAATAAGTAGTTGTGGAGAGCCAACGGGGCTTTTCAAGGCTGCTGCTACCCCGTGAACTCCCTCAAAGCAGGTCTGAGAATGTTAACGCCTTGCCCCTCTGGATCAGATCCAGGAGGCCCCTGTCATCGGGCTGTATCTATCCTGGCCGTGCACGTCTCCTTCCTGACTCCATCCTGTTCCCCCTGCATCCTGCTTGCAGTACACAGCCAGGGCAGTGGTGGAATGTGTGTGAGTTAGTGAGTTGGGGAGGCAGCGGCGAGTCCGCTGGGGCTTGGGCCCAGATGGGCTTGGACTGGTGCAGCTGCCAGTGGGGAAGGTGGTTTCGTGAGAAGTGAGGGCTGCGGCTCCTGGGCCATGGGTGACGCCCTGCCCCCTGCCCCCAACAGTGGAGAAGATCCGAGCTACCTTCACCGTCCTCCGGGCTTTTGGCTCTGTGTCCACCAGCCATAGCTGCAGTGCCACCCGGTTTGCCATGGTGATGTCGCTGGACTTCAATGCCACGGGACGAGTCACGGCCGCTCAGCTCCAGGTGCGTGCTCTGGGTGGACAGGAGAGGAGGGCCCTTGGTCCTGCAGTATCCCCAGCCCCGGCATAGGGAGGGCCACATCTCCACCTGGGTCCCTGGGATGTGTCTAAGTGGTGGTGGCTCCCCCAGCAGTGGCCACCTCCTTCCCGGCTCGCTCAGCACCCTGGAGCATCGCCGGCCTGTCTGCACCTCTGGATGCTGCAGGGATGAAATATTCATGGGTAAACATATAGCCCAGCCTCTCATCCACTGGATCCTTACAAGCATAAGCTGATGTGAAACAGCCGCTCGCCAGCCCTCCGCGGCCAGCCGCGTGTACCCGGCACAGGGCCTGCTGGCCCCCAGTGCCCCGATGACCGTGCCGCTCCCGTTCTCGCCTCACGCATGTTTGAGCAGAAAATAGGATCAGGTTATTAGCAGGGCGGTTTGGACACTGAGCTGGGATGATATCCAGACTCAAAGAAAACTCATAGGTGCCCCCGAAGTCCCTTTTCTGTCCTGGCCCTGCAGTGCCACCAATAGTCAGCATGCGGGTCAGGTTGGTCAGCTTCTGTTCACCACGAGGGTGTCGGCCGCCGGCTCCATGCGGCTGTCATTGCCTCTGGGCACTTTCATCGGGAGAGTGTTGCCCTAGTCGAGGCCCTGGGCGGGCTCCGGGCCAGTGGGATGGGGGACGGCGCACTTTCCATACGGACCTGTCCTGGCAGAGTGCGAATCTAAGCTGTTGCTCCCCCCAAAAGTGCATCAGGGCAGAGGGGCGCCCCGATGGGGCCTCTGGGTAGCTGGCCACAGGCCCGCCGGCAGGTGTACCCCGAGGGCCCACCACGTCCCGTCCACTCCCCTTGCAGACGATGCTTTTGGAGAAGAGCCGCGTGGCCCGGCAGCCGGAAGGGGAAGGCAATTTCGAGGTTTTCTCCCAGATGCTAGCAGGGTTGGACCTGGATCTCAGGTGAGTGACAGGGTTGGCATCTTTGAACTTAGCAGGTGGCAAGGACTCATTCAGGTCCACTGTCCTGAGATTACCCTGGAGCGAGTTCACGCAGCCGGTTAGCAGAGGACCTGGAGTTAGAACCTGCTCCCTTGGGTGTAGCTTGTGATTCTTCATGCTGGGTTCTCCTGGCACTTAGGAAGGGCCGGGGAAGAGCTGCAAGTGAGGAATGTTCCAGAAAGGGGACAAGGGCCTGGGGCAGGCCCTGGAAGCCCTCTGCCGTGATGACCACTTGGTCTGCCGGGCCACTGAGGTGGGCAGCCCCTCCCTGACTTCCAGTCTCTTCTCTGCTTCCAGGACGGAGCTGTACCTTCACCAGATGGCAGACAGCAGCTCGTTCGGCATGGGTGCATGGCCTAAGGTGAGGAGGAGGTCCTTCTGGGGGGAGGGGTGTGGGTGTCTGTGTCCCCGTGGCCAGGATGGGAGCGTGATGGAGGGGCTTCCTGTGTGACTTTTCTTTTTAACCAGTGGTTGGCAAGGACTGGTCATGTGGGGGACGCAAGGGTTGCCTTTGCAGGGCCTGGCTTGTAGGGTAAGTGGGACTTGTACACATCAAGGGATTCAGGAGGTGGTATTCGTAGAGGTAAGCGTGTGGGTTCTGGGCTCAAACCCCGGCTCTGACACTTATTAGATACATGACCTCAGACCCCACCTCTCTGAACATTTGTATCCTCTCCGGTCAAGTGATGGGAATCGTAGTATCGGACTCATTGGGTCGGGGTGAGTGGTAAATGAAATGATGGGCATAAAGTGCTGAGCGCAGGTCTTGGCCTAGATCCATCAATCAGGTACTCTTAGTCAATATTATTGGTGATTCCCATGGGTAGGTACAGTCAGAGACGGCTTCCTGGAAGATGTGGTCTGTGAGTAGGACCTTGAGAGATGGTAGAGATGCTTAAAAAAGCAAGGTGTTGACTTGTTTGCTTTAAAAAAAAAATTCATTGGTTTATATTTTAACAATTGGTTTCTGAGTCGCCCACCACCCAATGCATATACCACCAGCTCCTATGCCAAGTCTGTGCTAAGTGCTGGGATTATGGTCTCCATTCACAAATTTTTACTCTATCAGGAGAGAGGGATATGGGCACTGATGCAGTCATGTGAGATACAAATGTGCCAGACGTTGCCCAAGATGCTGTGGGCATCAGAGGATAGTTTAAAGAGCTTCTTAGCTACAGGGACATTTGACAGGGTTTGAGGAATGAATAGGAGTTCACCACGTAGGGGAGGATAGATCATTTCCATGCCAAAGCCTTTTAACAAAGATACAGTTTGGGAAACAAATAGTGCTGGAATAATGGGGAATTCTTGTGTCAAAAACGTATTTCAATCCACAACCTCACACCATACACAGAAATGAATAAGGAATGGATTATAGGCCCAAATGTAAAACTTAAAGCCATAATATTTCTAGAAGAAAACGAGGGAGGGGGATCCCTGGGTGGCTCAGCAGTTTAGCGCCTGCCTTTGGCCTCCCGCATTGGGCTCCCTGCATGGAGCCTGCTTCTCCCTCTGCCTGTGTCTCTGCCTCTCTCTCTCACTCTCTGTGTCTCTCATTGATAAATAAATAAAATCTTAAAAAAAAAAAACGAGGGAAAGATTTCTCTTGGCTTTGTTTTGGGCTAAGGTTTCTTAGATGGGCCACTAAACACACAGTCCTCTTTGAAAGGCACTGTTAATATGAAAATACACACCACAGACCAGGAAAAAATATTCTCAAATCACATATCTGATAAAGCATTTGAATCCAGAATATTATGGACGACTATCCAAACACATAAATACAACCTGACCAAAGAGATGGGCAAAAGGTCTCAACCTACACTTTGCCAAGGAAGACACACGGATGGTTGGTACGCACGTGAAAATATGCTCCACATCATTAGTCTTTAAAGAAATTCAAATTAAAACCACTACGATGTCACTACACCATCACTGGAACGTCTGGGTTTTAAAAGACTGATCATGCCAAGTGCTGGTGAGAATTTGGGGCAGCTGGAACTCTCACACGCCACTGGCAAGGATGTAAAACAGTACAGCTGTTTGTGAAAACGGTCTCTTAAAAAAGTGAAACCTACACTTTCTGTATGATACACTGGTCTACTCTTAGGTATTTATACAGGAAAATAAAAGTGCGTGTCCAGACAAAGGTTGTGACCTGACAGTTCTTGGCAAGTTTTCTTTAAAATAAGATTTTATTTATTTCTTCATGAAAGACACACAGAGAGAGGCAGAGACAGGGGGAGCCTGATGCAGGACTCGATCCCAGGACCCCGGGATCACACCCTGAGTCAAAGGCAGATGCTCAACCACTGAGCCACCCAGGTACCCCCAGTTCTTGGCAGTTTTACTTGCAATAGCCCAAACCTAACAACTAACTACCTGCGTGTCTAAAAACAGGTGAGTGGCTGTGGAGTATCGATAAAGATAGTATCCTAGTCAGCTGTAAAAATGAAGGAGCAACTAGCATATCCAAGGAGATGATGGCTCTCGAAATCATCATGCTGATAAAAATCTCTGATGAAAGAGAGAATAACTGTATGACCCCATGTATGTGAAACTTTCCAAATTGCAGACCGGCTGCCAGTGACAGAAGACAGGATGGGGGTTGCCTGGGCACTGGGTGGGGGTGGGCGGGGGAGGGGGAGAAAGAATGATAAAAGGGAACTTTTGGGGTGGCGATGGGTATGGTCATTGTCTTTATTGCGGCGATAGCTTATCAGATTATACCTTTTAAAAAAATTTTTATTTATTCATGAGAGACACACAGAGAGAGGCAGAGACACAGGCAGAGGGAGAAGCAGGCTCCGATGCGGGACTCGATCCCAGGACCCCGGGATCATGACCTGAGCTGAAGGCAGACGCTCAGCCACTGAGCCACCCAGGTGCCCAGATTATACCTTTTAAAGATGAGTAGTTGATCTTTTGTCGATGACATTGTAATGGCCTCTCCAGAGTGACGCGTCCAGCAGGTCTGGGCAGGGCCTGGGGATCTGCATTCCTCACCAGTTCCCAGGTGATGCTGCTGCTCTTGGCCCAGGGGCCGCCCTCTCTAAGAACCGCTGACATGGGCTCATTTCTGCAGTAGGTAGAAATGGTGCAGCTGTTCCTTCTTTAAATTCTGGGGGCTAACCCTCTCTTCTTCTGATACCCCGTGTCCCTGGCAGGCATTCCAGAGTGGGGTTTTCTCCCACACACTTTCTCCCCACAGTTGGGGAACCGTTAGGACCCCAGACCTTGACCATGACAGCGCAGGATGAGAGGCTATCCCAGCACTGGGGTTTCCCAGGAATTTTGGCCTAGTGGATCCATCTGCAAGAGGGCTGTTTTTGAGGAGAAGAGCCTGAGCCCCGTCCTTGTGAACTCTCTCCAGCCTGACTTTTTTGTTACAGTCTGCACACAGGAATGGGTCACAGTGGGAATCCGTGTCAGGCAGGCTTTTGAAGTAGATTTCTTTTTTGTGTATGTTTGTGGGGGGTGTTTTCTTTAGGCCAGCTGATTTGCGGGAACTGGTGGGGTGTTCCTTTGTTCTCTCTCTCTGCTACCTGGCAGGTATCCAGGGAAGCTTTTCTCAGTGTTCTACGAACAAAAATAAAGTCTGAAAGCTCACTGGTCTTTGATCCCAGCCAGAGCTAGTTTTCTGGGGTTGGGTGGTCCCGGTACTGTCTCAGTAGGGGAATTGGGTGGTCAGGAAATACCCCCAAGGATGGGAGTTGCTAAGTACAAGCTCCCAAAGCTGCCAGATTGAGCACGCAAAAATATAGGATGTCCAGGACTTCCATCTTGTAATGGAGCTAATGTACAGCGTGGTGACTCTAGTTCATAATGGTGCTTATGGCATACTTCAAATTTCCTAGGAGAGTGGGATCTTAAGTGTTCTCACCACACACAAAAAATAGTAACTATGTGAAGTGATGGATGTATTCATTAACTTCATCGTGGCAATCATTTCAGAATGTGTACTTATATCACATCATCACATGGTACACCTAAAAATATGCAATTTTTATCTGTCACTTATAACTCAGTAAAATTAAAAAACAAAAAACAAAAAAACAAAACCAAAAAACCACCCCCACGGGATGCCCAGTTGCACTTGAAATTCAGATAAACACGGAGTAATTTTTTTAGAATAATGATGCCTTAAATATTGCATGGGCAGGCCTGGAGTGTTGGAGTCCTATCAGAGAAGGCTGCCTGGAGGAGGTGAGCCTGAGAGTCAAGTGAGGCCAGCATTCCTGCTCCACCAGATATTGAGGGGAAATATATTTACACGACAACATTACCCACCATTTATCAGAGATTCAAATTGAACTATAGGTCTTGCATTTCATCTGGCAGTTCTATAGCCCACTTCATCCCTGGCTGAGCCATCTTCCTCCTCCTCCTAGCCAGTCCCGCAGGCTTGGATCACCTCTGACTTCATCTGTAACCGAGGTTTTCATTGTTCCCTGAAAATTCACTGATGACAGTGGTTAAGAAATGAGTTCTGGGGACGCCTGGGTGGCTCAGCGGTTGAGTGTCTTCCTTCAGCTCAGGTCATGATCCCGGGGTCCTGGGATCGAGTCCCACATCAGCTCTCTGCAGGGAGCCTGCTTCTCCCTCTGCCTGTATCTTCCCCGCCCCCCCCCCCGCCGTGTCTCTCATGAATAAATAAAATAAAATAAATAATAAAATAAAATAAAATAAATAAAATAAAATAAATAAAAGGGTTCTGGAGTTTGACAAATCCAGGTTCAGATTCCAGTACCGGATGGGTGGCCCTAAGCTGGGTGACTTCATTTCCCTGTGCCTCAGTTTCCTCAATGGTAAAACTGGGTGTTCATAGTCCTCCTTGTGCCCAGGTTAAGTGAGATAAAGTCCATCAAGTGCTTGGACGCTCAGCATTTATTATGATGATTATGATTTGTTATTATTACTCACCATTACCTTGTATGGCAGCACTGGACCAGCTGGGTTGGGCAAGGCCTCAGCGGTCCACGAGACCCCCAGTCCAGGCCTCTCGGCAGTACACACCTTGTTTTTTGTCTCATTGGCTTTATCTCTCTCCTCAAGTTTATATTTTTATTTTTTTTTTATTTTTTTTTTTTAAATTTTTTTTTTTAATTTTTATTTATTTATGATAGAGAGAGAGAGAGAGAGGCAGAGACACAGGCAGAGGGAGAAGCAGGCTCCATGCACCGGGAGCCCGATGTGGGATTCAATCCTGGGTCTCCAGGATCGCGCCCTGGGCCAAAGGCAGGCGCCAAACCGCTGCGCCACCCAAGGATCCCAAGTTTATATTTTTAATATAACATTTACTTTTTGGGACACCCTGGCAGGTTCAGTAGATGGAGCATGTGGCTCTTGATCTCAGCATTG